TCCTCCTCCTCCCCCCACCCACTTCCCACGTCCAGCTCCAAACCCTTGATCAGACGTCCTCTCCCGCCGCCCAGCGTGGGAAAGGTATTTCTGGCTGCATCTGTCAGACTTTCCAGCCATCCAGCATGCTGGGAGTTGTAGTCCGCCAGCAACTTTTTCCCCGGGGCTGTGCAAATCGCCCGAGTAGCAAGCGCTTTTAATTCATATACTCTCCCTTCCCCCCCCCCCAAATCTCTTTTCCACTCGGATTCTGGAACTTAATTTCTTTAAGTTTTGGAACGTTCTAAGTCCAAACGCCCTGCAGTTTCCTGCAAAGACGTCCCCCAAGTGGCTGGGGATTTGGGGAGTTGTAGTCTCCAACGGAGCTCCGGACATTTTTTTCTCTCTCTCTCTGCTGCACCCTCCCTCCCTCCGCACTCACCCCTTGGTCGTCGTCGCTGCTCTCGCTTTTCCTGTTGCTGCTGCTGCTGATGATGATGATGATCCGCCCGCCGCTGTTCTGAGTCTGGAGACCGGTTCCGACGCCAGCTTCATCACGTTGTCTTAGTGCATGGTTTCGCCCCGATCCCTCAGAAAGCCGCCGTGGTGGGGGCGCATCCTTCCCTCTCCCGGCCTCCCCTGAAGAGCCGCCGGCCGACCCCCGGGCTGCCTTGCAAAGCGGAGAAGGCGGCGGGGGTGGGGGGGGTAAGATCCGCTTTTCAGCTGCTCAGCCCTTTCTTTCTTTCTTCCTCCTCGTCGTCGTCGTCGTGGACGCCTCCTCGCCTCCTCCTCCTCCTCCTCCTCGCCTCCTCTTCCTTGGTCCGCGCGTCCTCTTCTCCGGAGTCCCTTCTTCCCGCGGGCAGAGGAGGACGGCTTAATCCCATCTAAGTCTCAGACCGCGAGCGCCTGGGGGAAGATGGAGGGGGGGCAGAGAAAGGACACGTTGGGAAGCCAGCACCCTTCATGATCGCGGGACCTTTCGCCTCCTTGGCCCCGCCACCCTCCGCCTCCTTAGGATTCAAGCTCTCTCTTTCTCTTTCACCACCACCACCCCCAGCTCCTAAGAGCGGCTCTTCTCTTGTCCCTCCGTCCTTCCGGGGAGGGGGCGGCGGGATCCCGTTTAAAAAAAAAAACAAAAACTCTCCTGCAATTTACTTTTGTCCAAGTCCCCTGGATGGTTGGAGCGCAGAGGCTTAGCTAAAGCACGAGAGGAGAGCCTGCCTTTTTTCAAACTCGCAGATGCTGTCTTTCCTCCGCTTGAAAACCGCCTTCGGAGTTTGCAAAGAGGGGGAAAAAGGAATGATCCGGAGAAAATGTGGAGGGAATAAGGGGGAGAGAGAAAAAAAATCTCTTTTTTTTCCCCAGCTCTGCTCCGCCGCTGCTCGTTGCTGCCCTCTAGTGTAAAAAGGGAAGCAGAGCTGAAACTAGAAATCGAGAGGATTTTTGGTACCCTCGGGGTGAAAGGTGAGGAGGCGGAAAGTTTCGTGTTTTTTTTCTTTAAAAAAAAAAAGATCTCAGCGGCTGCAAGCTTAACTGGAGGCGGAATTTAGCACACGTTGAACCAAATAGGACTCAAGACGAGCAAACCCGCTTAAGAACATATCCATCTACTAGCATTCATGCAATGGGGGTTGGTTTATAAAAAGGGAGGGAGGGAGTTGAGCTTATGGACCTGTCTGTTTTTGCTGGCGAGTAAAAATCTCACTAGGCTCAGGGAAACCTGCTTCCGAGGAGACACCACTTGGGAGGTGTCAAACTACAAATCCCACCACGGCCGGCTGGGGAGGATGGGGGCGGTGAGCTTGTCCCAAGAGCAGGGCTGGCAATTCCCTTCTCCGTTTGCGCTCCTCCCTTCCTGGCCTGGGTGTAGCTCAGGAGAGAAAGTTGGAGGCACACCGTGTGGCTCTCAATGCAGCCGGCTGATCAAGACTGGTCTCTCCCGGAAACTCTAGGAGGACTTGATTTTTACAGAACGGTGAGCCGAAGAGAAAAAAGAGATGCCTTCAAGCAAAGAGATCGCCCATTCTACCTGGCACTGCATTTCCAAAATATATATCAACAGGTGAGGGCTACAAGTGAAATTTCAGAGACATTGAAAGGTGGAGGGAGACAGACAGGGTTGAACCCCAGCTTAAACATACTTAAGATCTATGAATATCAGTCAAGTGGGCTGTAACTTTCTTAAGGGCTTCTTTTAAATGTAAGGTTATTTATGAACAGCTTAGATTCCAACACTGCAAAGCAGCGTACAACAATACACAGCACACACAATTTACAGGCTGCACAAGCAGACGATACATGAACATACACCATTTATGTAGCAGTCCGTGAGACTGGAGTCCACACATCCCCATCGATTTCAATGGATCTACTGTAAGCATGGCTACGTGACGATCCAATCATTCATTCTAAGCTCTCAGATATATTAAAGCAAGCTCCACTTATTAGCATTCATGAAATAAGCCAGAGACGTAAAGGTAGATTTTGAATGTTGTAGCAAAAAGGCATTACTGATTCAGATTGCTAGAGGATGCCTTTAAAGGCTCTAGTCCTCTATATGCCCCATGCTGGAGCCTGTTCCCAAACACACCCACCTTAAGGCATGCATGAGCCTTTTTGGAGAATTAATTTGCCCTAAGAGTTCTCTCATTCCCTCTCCAACAACATGCCGGAAATTCAACCCCAGTTACTGTAAAGGTGACCACAGCTGCCCTTTAAAATGCATAGGCATACACTGATTAAGAAAAAGAAACAAATCCAGGCTTGGAAGAGAAAGAAAAGCTTTAACAAAGAGGCAGGAATCCCCGGAGGGGAACAATTGGCAAAGTGTTATCCCCCTGCTCTAAGTGGTTAAAATGCTTTCAGGTTAATCTGTAAGGGAGGCTGAGCCACTAAAGTCACGTCCACACACTCCGAATTCCCCCTCCCTAATATCTGAGACTGGACACTTACGTTGCAGCCAGGGAACCGAGATGCTGCCACTGGCCTCAACCAACATGTTTAAAAATGTGATCTC